AACACCTGGCATACTCTCAAACACCTGGCATACTCTCAAACACCTGGTATACTCTCAAACACCTGGTATACTCTCAAACACCTGGTAAAAAGGTCTCTTGTAAATGAGTTTTCGAGGCTCAATGAGACTAACCTGTATAAATAAAGGTTGAATTGAATTAATATTCACATTATTGTTGGTGCTGACTCTAGATCAAATTATCTGTTTCTAGATCAAATTATCTGTTTCTAGATCAAATTATCTGTTTCTATCAGTGCACAACTAGCCAGCTAATTAAAAAACAACAACTCAAAACTTGCAACAAAGAATACTGTACATCCTAGTCTCTGTGGGGAACACTGTATTCAGACAGTACGGACTGCGGTCCTTCCTAAACCAAACTTCTGGGTCCTGTTAAGAACAAACTGGCACCGCTCCCTTCATTCCAGAACAAGGAGTCATCACTCACAAAGCCGCACCCGTATGCTCGTGCACATGTACACTTAGCCACAGCAACACACTTGGAGGAGGTAAAGTTAAACGGCGCTCACTAGCGTGCATTAAAGCATTCTTACAGAGCAGAGTGCATTCATCCATCAGTGTTTTATGAACCCATCTTCCTGTCGTTTTTCTTCACTCCTGGATGATCTCATCCACCTCCCCTCGCTTCCTTCCTCCTCCTCGTCACCTTGTTTTCTACTTTGAGGTGGACTGCTCAACCTCCACTTTATGTCTTATTATCACTATAAACGTAGGCAAAAAGTTTAGATGACAAAAACAACAAAACAGCAGGAGTTGTGTCACATATAAATTATTATGAATCCCTTTAAAAAGTTTTAGGCTTCTGTGTTTTGCTTAATAAGTCATGATGTGGGGGAGTAAACTGATTTTAGTAATGTATGAGGAATGAAGCCGTTTTCCAGTGTGCAGGAGCACTTTGCTGCCTCATGTAAGCAAACCACAGAAACTTACTGCGGTTCATCTTGTCTGAGCTTTACAAGCGTGATTTTTGCAAAGCAGGAATGATAAGCATGAAGCAAAAATCTAATCTGAAAGTCCTCTTGGAGGTTATAAATATCACTTTGTGGCCTGATCAGGGAAACACCAATAAGCATCTGAAAAAACACTGAATGTTTTCTTCCAAATCTATGCAAAGTTGCACCAATCCATCTTAAATAATTCAATAAGTTCATTTTGAACCACATTTATCTACAGTATCTGCTAGCACAAATCCATACAATCTAAGCAGAGCTTAGCAGTAAATAATCAACAGTTGGTTGTTTTTTAACACTATATTACGTTTGAAGAATGACATGCTTCGTCTTGAGTTTTTACAAAAATATATATAAAATATCCATGAACCTAAAGAAAATTATTAATTTAAACATTTAAGGAATAACTTTTATTTTATTTCATGCTCTAAAATTCCTGATTAAGTTACAACAATGACAATCCAGACACTTGATGTACATTTTAGTTCAAACAAAACTGTAACTTGAAGAGAAATGCATGAATCTCATGTTCAGTGTTAACTTTAATGTTAAAAACACCTTTTACAATAAAACCACAACTGAAACTACTGTAGCAGGATATCCATTACATTTCGATGGAATCATGTTTTTACCGTCACGCCTCAGATTTTTCTCAGAGCGTACAGGCCTCAGTTAAGGAAACAGTTTGCATCCAAGTTTACGCCAGGAGCATTCACCTAAAACTGAAAGGATGATATAAGCTTCAACCTTTTTATATAGTTTATTTTAGACGAGCTGAGTGCATCTGAGATGTTTTAGCTCGTGTGAAGGGGAGGCAGTCTGAGACGTACGCTGCAGTGAAAGCCCAATAACTGAGCAGAGTTTCCATCTTAGAAGAAAAGTGCCGGGCCTGTCCTTACATTTGGCCCCGTGTGTCTCCTGCTCCAAATTACAGTCATTTAAGCGTGACTAACATCCCTGCATCAGCGCTGGCGACGATAATCAAACGTCTCTCTCCGTCTCTTTGAGGCTGGTTTATTCACTTACAGCCCACAGGCTGCAGAAGGTCCAACAACTCCTCATCTTACTTACATCACAGGATGACGAGATCAATGCCGAGTACTCTGGGTGGTCCTTGCCACAACCCAGAGGACCACCGCTCATCTATTGTGGTCTTCAAGGAATTGACTCATGCCACCAATGCTGTGGTTACACAAAACAACCTGTAATTTCCAGCCCTGCAAACAAATCCAAGGGTGATGCATAGAGCTCTTTAACTAGAGCCCAACCAAAATATTGGTAGGGACAATATTTTAGGCCTGGGCTGTTCAACTAAATTGCTCAGGGGGCCACAGTTACTGAATGCCAAGATCTCAGGGGGCCCGACATTCAGCAGTTATTGTCATTAACTAAGGTTGTTTTACAGTTTAAAAATCTAGTTTTATTTAAAAATTAACCCATGGGTGGGCCGAACTGAGCTCACCTGTGGGCCTGATTTGGTCTCCGGGCCACCAGTTGAATAACCCCGTTTTAGACCAATATAGTAGGCGTTTAGGAACATATCGGCATCAATGATAATTGGCCCAGTATGTGTCGACATAAACACTTCTAGTTTTCACCCTTAAAATGCAGGGAACAAGCTGTGTCCTTACTTGTGAATGGCGTAATTGTACAATATATCCAGCAGAGGGCGCACAAGGACTATTTTCAAGTCATGGCTGTTCACTTAAGTTTCACTTTCAGCACAGCCGAAGCAGGGAGCAACTAAATACTGTGTAGCGTATTTTGCTGAACAGAGCATGGCAAGTTTATTTTAACTGAACTGTTAAAAACAATCAACAATAATAAATTATCTTCAATCCTCCAACCCACTTGTCATTAGCTACGTGCCTCTCAAGTTAGTAAGCTAACGTTTAGATAACCTATCGCCTTGTAAAACTTTAGCCAGAACAATAACAGAGGTAAAATATATCAGCGTTAGTCCTCAATGAAATGCATTGTTTGTCTGAAATCTTTACTTCTCTGCAAAGAAAAAAAAAATCACTGCTGCAGTCACTACTAAGTAGGCCTTCCATACGTGACTGACTGCTTAATCAATGAACAGGGAAGGGTTTTTCTTTGTTAATTTATAGTTTTGTATCACACTTGATAACTTTATGGTGAAAAATGGAGGATAGAGAATGTGAGTGCACATTAAGAAGACTGTTTTTATGACCAGTGCATGAATTGTAAACCTACCGTGGGACTAATTAAACCATGGAACTGATTAGCTTAGCTTCATGGTCACTAACAGTCGCGCTAAATAAACAAGCCGCGCTCGGCTCACAGTTTTAGATTCTTGGGGGGGTGGACAAAGCTCAAAAATTTTACGCCATTTTTATCGGCATTAACCCTCCTGGTATCGATGATAGCCAATTTTTTTATAATCAGTCGGGCTCTATTTTTAACGTCTAAAAATATAAGTTTGATAAGTTGTTTGCACAATGTGTATAAGTCTTCAACGTTACTCAGATTACAGCAATTACTTTACCCCAAGTTACACCTTTCAGTGGGGAGGGGTTGTACATAAATTACAGTCACAAAAGTCTGATTGTTACACCAAACGTGGCATGCATCAGCTGTAGGTGGATTGACTGAATAAAAATCTGTTCCCCCTCACATCACATATCTGAAGGTTTAAAGACCTGGAGCAGACATGTGTCCCAACATGCTGTTTACTTAGCCTTCACAACACACGTCAAACCTCCCGTCGGACAGAAGATACTGCTCCAACCTCAGAAACCTCAACACGCTGAGTCAATACCTTCAGCGCTGACACCGACGGATATGTGCACACATCCGCACAAAGTAAACAGAAACAAAACAAAAAAAAAAGTTTATACGCTCACATGAGACTCAGACACTCAGTATATGAGGAAACATTATGCACTGGTCTGAATTTCTGACAGTGGATATGCTCTGCAGCTTGAGGACACAAATTCCAGGACAAATCTGCATCTCGACCCGCCAGTGATGATAAAGCGATGTAAAGCAGGGACACCTGCCCTGCCTGAAGCGCAGCGCTGCTGTAATGTGCTCATTTAGGGATTACGCCTCGTACAGCTTCATCTGACGTTGAATCTGACAAAGAATTGTGCAAAGAATGGGGGAAAAAAAAAAAGTTTGCCATGTCTCAAAACAACCAGGAAACGTAAATGTACACACCCTGAACAGATCAGTGTCAAAGCTGGATTGCAAAACACATTTAAAAAGGTGGGATTCACACAATAAAAACCACTTTGGAGGACTGAAGCAGGGTTAAACACCTGACCTCCAACAGCAGCCCCTCAAAGCTCTCATCGAGCTCGCACACTGAGCGGTAATCTTATCGGCTCTGCATGAGCAAAAAGAATCTCGCAGGTACAAAGGAGAGGGGTACAGGAAATGGAAAAGGAACCGCACTATGAGTCAGAGGCTGCCAGAGCAGACCTCATGGGGATAAGGCAGGAGGGAGTGGCAGCGATACAGACACCTTTGTTTGAATTAGGACAGGCTCAGTTCATCCATTAGGCCGTTCACGTCTAAGCTGCTGGATTCACACGGCGACGCTGCTAAAGCTGCACGGGAAGAGAAAAATGACCAATCAGAAGGTTAAACGTCTCCTTTTGCAAAAAAAGAATACACTAAAAAATAACTTTGGGATAGGTTTTATATCAACGGCTTGTGCATACATTAACCGTTTTGTTTTGAATATATATTTTATGACCCTGTTGCTAAAGTGTTGAGCAAAACTGGTGTAGCTGTGCAGCACCTGCAGGCAAACATCAGTCAGGGCGTTGGCTTCTCTGGGCTTTATCAAACAAAGGAGAGCATTGCTACTTGAGAACAAACTTAAGTAACCTTGTCTGAACCGCCTCTCAGCGCAATCATCTGTGAGCACTCAATCAATAGACGACAGATGACAGGGTCACTGTAAGAAAAATAATGGAAATGCTCTTTAAAGGAAACTGGTTATTGCCTACAAAGGTCCCCTGGGCAGACTTAAAAGATCCGAAACTCAGGGTGGCCAAAAGTTTAGAGTAGTTTGTTGTCCTGTCAACATATCGGCATAAACATGCAGCAAAGAACTTGGACTGAAAGACAATCCCCCGCTGACATTATGTGGTCTCTTTGTCTGCTGCAGAAAGAGGATACAGTTGCGGAAAACGAGCACGCTGGTATCGAGGAGGACAAAAATAAACAAAAACTTCTGCGAGGTTTTCCGAGGCTGCGCAGACGACGACCTGTGATGGGGTAACGCACGCCGGAGAGCGCTGGAGCTCCTGCAGCCATGCAGCAGCTTGTCTGGTGAGAGCTGCAGCTGCATTCCTGAGAGTTCGATAATTACCGTCTGAAGAACTCTTCTTTCAAAATCTGCTTTCACCCTCCTCGCATGCTCAAGTCCAACACTCCTCATCCCCTTCTCCTCCCATCCATCAGTCCCCCTGCAAAAACTCAGCCAGGGAGGAAAATGGATAATAGCTGGCACATGGGAGTCATTTTCAGATAACATTATAACACGAGGCTGTGCGTTCCCATCGGCTGATATTATCTGTGTGAGTAAAGCAAGGCTGGGAGTAGAAAAATGTAGGACAACTTTGTTTAGAATGCACCTCCTGGGTTAATTAGTCTATTTAGGTAAAACGCTACATTGGATTGTGCAGCAAAAGGTGAACCCAAGCCAGTTTTTTCCTCTTGCGGCGTTTAAAAACGACAATCAGCAGGAACAATGGCTGTAAAGTGTCCTGTTTGAGTTACGTCCATGGGGTTGCCAGGAGTCTAAGTTAGGACTGCGACCTCTAGGACCCCTTAAACAAGCACTTAAAACAATGGATGAAAAGAACATGCAGCTGTAGCGAGCAGTTCACAGAGGAGGTGCAGAGACTTGAAGCGTACGACATCCTTTAAATATACAGCTTCTGCAATTTGAAAGGCTAGAAGTACCAAGAGATTCGTTAAAAAAAAAAAAAAAAAAGTCTGGCGTTTAACAGAAAGCTGATTTATATATGCAAAATAAATCTGCCTTCAGTCATGTGATCAGCATAGGCTCCAAAATCATGTAAACAATGGAAGTGGCAGCAATGAAAAATACCCAAACGGTGCGTTGTTTACTCCTGTGACAGCAGACGTTAAACTAACGATGTAAACATAGTTTCTACATATATTCATCCGTTTTACAGCAGCCAGAGAGGAGGAACAATGGACAATTTAAAGCCCTGAACTGCTATTCCAGCACTGCACAGATGGGTCAGTCTGTTACTGGCTGAGTGGTTCAGAACCAGTTATTGCAGTTTTATTATATAGCAGAAAAACAGTCGCCAAATGAGTTCACTGAAACATAAATTCATCTAACTTGCTGCTTCGAATAAGATGCATTAATCTACGTCTGGTGATTGGGTTTTTTTTTTTAAAGCCACAAAACACCAATTTTTGCACAAACCTGGCTTTAACATGTGAAGGAAGGTGATGAACTCATTTATTTTTAGACATATGTCCAAAGGCTGCTGGTATGGAAGATGTTTCCAACCGTGTTTGCACGAGACAACAAAAGCATCTTGGGCAGTAAAGGGAGCACTCGTGGCTCTTTAATCCAACAGCGACCTATTTGATTTTTCCTGAGTGGTGATAAGGACCTGCAGATGATTCACTCATCCTTCTGATTAAAAGAAGCCTGATCACTCAGGAAGCAGGCGCCTCCCCGCTGACGGGCCCTCTGTGACACACAGACACCACTCAGTCAGTCATGAGTCTGTTATCGATTGTTCCTCTTATCGTTGCCTTGTCTGGACCAGCCGCTTCGACCTTTCCTCCACTGAGAAATCCCACAACAGGAACTTTAAATCTGACTGTACCATTTCCAAAGAAAATAACACATCATTTCAGTTTTTTTTCAATTTATTTACATATAAATTATCCTTTCTTGTTGCCTTGTGTTATCATCCTATCGTTACATCAAAGTCTAGCTGGATCTCCAGCAGAATCTCTGCCATGCTCAGCTGCTTACATGGCACACCTGTAATTTCCCCAGGTGCAAGCCTTGGCATGGCGGCCTGGAGTGAAGGAGCTGCACCAGAATGTGACACACCCTTTCTAAACAAATGTCTCATTCCCAGCCTCACCTACCATAGAGTACATAAAATAAAGATAAAAAAAACTAAAAAAGCCAGCAGCTTTATAAAAACTTATTGATCTGGAGCTCGCCTCATGTCCAAAGTCCAGCAGATGCAGCAGTCAAACAGAAAAAAAGAGGTCCCTGAAGGGGTCCTTTTTTTTTCTGGACTCCCAGTGGCTGGCACAGCTGGAACCAAGTGTCAGAAACCATTTCCAGCTGAAAAAGCAGAAGTAACTCCCAGGATCCCTCGTGCTCCAACATCTAAATATATTTAAAACACTGCACCACACCTTTTGAATATTATTATTAACATGAGAACTGCTCTTCAAAGTTCAAACTTGAACTTTAATTTGTGTGTATATGTTTAAAAAGCTGAGGCAAATCAAACAAAATGAAAAAAAAAAAAAAGCAGCAGTTTACAGTTGAAACAGATATATTCCCATGAATAATTCACGCCATGCGCGGTTTACACAGAGTGGACAAAAAATAAAACTACGCATAAACAACTTGTTTTGGTTCAAACTCGAACAGAACTGAAGTGGATCGTACCTTGAGAAACTTTAAAGATCCGGGTTGGACTGATTTCACTCACTGTCCATTTGAAGCGGCTCCCTGGGCCTCATTCCAACTCCAAAGTTGTTTTGTTTTCTCAGTCTACGCAGAAAAACTTCACGTGGAGCATTTCCGTGAAAACTTTTGTACGCTTCATGAAAAAAACTATTTATTTTGTAAAAAAAATAAATAAATAAACAACTTAAGTCTCTGCCGGTTCGACTCGAGTTTGTCAACACACAAAAAAACTTTTCTTCGGCTGTCATGTGCTGTCAGTCTGCCCACAAGCCACTGAAGCGAAACGCTGTGGAGGAACGAGGAGAATAATCCCGTTTACATCCAGCAGCTCCCACCTGAAGGAGGAGGAGGTTCTGCACAGGTGAGACCGCCCGGTGCTGTGGGGACATCTAGTGGCGAGGAGAGGAACTGCAGCTAAGAAGGCCGCCCCGTTCTATAGGGACATCTAGT